ATTTCTGAATGTTATTGTAAAACTTGGTGTATGTCTATGCAGGAATGGCCAGAAGGATCACTTGAAGAAACAGTGCAAAACGCTGTCAAGTCATGGGAGATGGAAGTCTCCCACAAGGTTCGCTTGCAAGACTTCAAGTCCATTAACCCTGAAAAATTCAAGCTCATCGTTAATGGTATGATCCCAACTTGTAAAAAGATATCACCAAAATTATATGATTATTGATGATATTTTCGTGTTTGGTCTTCGACTTGTCTGTCGTTGAATTTGTGGTTAATACTTGTTAACGTGGTGATTGCAGGGAGAGAAGGATTAACAGGAGAAGAGACTCTAAAGATAGGGAGCTACAATGCACTGTTGAAGAATTCTCTACCAAAGGAGTTTCAATACTACAAAGCAGATGAAGAAACGTTTGAATCATCTCACGAAGGCTTCCGTTCAGCTTTTCCTCGTGGATTTGCATGGGAAGTCATCAGTGTTTACTCAGGACCTCCTCTGATTGCTTTCAAGTTCAGGCACTGGGGTATCTTCCAGGGTCCTTTCAAAGGACACGCCCCAACGGGGGAGAAGGTTGAATTCTTTGGCTTGGGAACTCTCAAGGTAATATGTTTCTCCCTTCTTTATTTTTTCTTGGAAAAACAAAACAAAAGGTAAAAAAGCCCTGGATTGTCTTCTTGCTGTGATTATTAACTTGAATATCTATATATGTGGAGAAGTGGGTGGTGCCCATCAGTGCCCCATTAATGGACAAGTCATTAGTTGAAATTCATGGCCTTGGTTGGTCCCATAAGAAAAGTTTCAAGCTAGAAACGATTATACAATATAGAACGTTTAGCTGCTTCTCACTTTTTCTTGCAGTAAGCATTAAATTTGATCTTATCTTATCTTTCACCACAAAGAGAAACATGCTTGAATCAAAATTAAAAAACAAAAATTGGCTTAAATTAAATCACAAACACACAAAAACTTGTTCAAATCTCTTTCAACTCTTGATTGTTGATATTTTAGATACAGATATAGCTAAATTTGGAACTTGGGTTCTGTTTTTTGGGTTTTAAGTATGAGCCTGAAAGCACATAGAAGGCATCTATTCGCCTTTATTAATAAATAATAAGAAAAAGGTCGAATAGCTAATGGAAACATTTTGGTTTGACCAGGCAAGCAGCAAACATTTTAGTGTAATCCAATAACAAAAGGTTACCCATAGACTTTTTGAGACATTTTGACCTCTTTTTCATGTAATAACAAGAAACAAATTATCTTGTCACAAAAAAATGACATTTTTTAATGAAGAAGAACTCTTAACTGTATTTAATTGTATGCATCAGTAGATTTAAGAGGGTAACAAATGGTGTCGATTGTCACTTCTTAAATTTTAATTTTTAATTATTATATATATATATAATGATTACTTTGACAATTACCTTTTAACTATTTTTATATAAAATTTTAAGTTCCCCAATGATTATATGCTAATAAAATCCCTTTTCACAGGTTGATAAATCTCTTAAGGTAGAAGAAGTTGAGATTTACTATGACCCTGGAGAGCTATTTGCTGGCCTACTCAAAGGTCCACCAATCTCAGAATCACAAACAGGCGATGAAGACACTGCTCAATGTTCAGCAACAGCTCATGGCTGCCCTTTCAAGAAGTGAATATATACATGCACTTGGAATAGCTTCCCATGTGCCTCAATTTGTGCTCAATGTAATTGCTGACAGGCAACCCCTAGCTCAATAAAGATGAACCTTTATCTATTTTGAGTGCCATCCTATTTATATTTACTGTAAGAAAGCAATGAAATTATTCCAACTTTTTTCTTTCCTTTCGATTACTTCACATATAGAAAGGGACCACCAATCTCAAAAATCACAAAAAGGTTGACATTACTAAATAGATGGCCTCAATTGTTGTTTCTAAAATGGAAAATGGACATCAACAATTACCTAATAGCTGTCCTTTTAAATGATCATAAAGAAAATGCAAATGCAACTAGATACAGTCATAGGCAAAATATATCCATGCTTATCCTGTAAAACTTTAATGCATCCAATCAACATGAGCTTTATCTTCTTTTTTTTTTTCTATTTGGAGAATTATAATTGAAATATAGAAATTACTCCAATCTTCAAATTAAGAGTATAGAAATATAGGGATCAAATACATCCTTCACTAAGTAGCACCACATAGACATAATATTGTTTGTAAACTCGGTTGATGAGCCGTTAGAGCACTGAAATGTGCTTAATGGCCACTGGAATTAATTGGTAATTTTCTTTGGAAATAGGTAAGTTGGCAAGAAATCAACAAGCAATGTACCATTAAATTCCCCTTTTTCCAACAAAAATCTTTTGGTAAAAGGTCATATAGGTTTGAATACTTCTAACTTCAAAGTACTCTTAGGCACCTCAAAAATAAATATCTAAAACATGCAAAAAGTAAATAGTAAATACTGCCTGATACTGGATACTAGAGAAAAACACCACATAGATTAATATGCTTTAACATTGTTGCATTACATATTACAACAATACAAAGAATATTACAAAAATGACACGAAACTTTAACCTTTTCAGCAGAAATCAATTTTTGGGTCTATGCCATGTCGACATTCATCTACAAGAGCCACATTTAACATTTCGGTGCAAAATGGATCATCCGGTTTCAGCCATAAAGCCTGGTTCGAAGACAAGTGGGAAGATCAGATTTAGAGATTTGGGGCAAAAAAAGATAGCATCAAAGCTGTACTTTAGCTATCCTACAACTATAACATCTTATGTCAATCAAGAAAATAATCAACATATTCGCTAAAATGCATAATATGCCAAACATTGTCGAACCAAGCTAAAAGCAGGTAAAGTGTGGAGATGGAGAGCACACTTTCCATAAAAGCTATGAAAGTAGATTCTTGATTACTGACCTTATGATAGTATGTAATTGCAGCAGTAAAATTATCCTGTTAACAAAATCAGTGTAAGTCCCAAAGCTAGTAATCAGCTTACAAGTAATTCAAAAACAAAATTTTCATGTACAATCTAGAAAAGCCAGCATAGTGGAATATTCAATCTTGATGAATTAGTTATGAAGTATAACAACTTTAAGCTAGGGTCCATTTGATTCATGCTTTTCTTATTTTCCTTCTGTTTTCTGTTCATTTTTTATGTTTTGCCTTTTCCTTTTTATTCAATTTTGTAAAAAGAAAAAGAAATAGCAAAAACGTCAACCAAACGGAACCTCAGTGAGTGTTAGGGGCAGAAAAGGGCTTAACTGACCTGCAAATGGTATGTGTATGCAAGACCTGCATAAGTGCTCAAGCTTTTAGTCGATAATGTAAGTGCTTTCTCATAGAATGAGATTGCTTCATGGTACATCCTGATACACAATGGGCTCATATAATTAGTGTCAAAAGGTTGAAATTAGTTGGCACTAATTTTTTGCAAATTAATACCACCAAAATCAGATTGTAAAAATCAATATAAAGAAATGCCATTCCCCTTGTTAAATACAAACTATGACATATAGTGACGTCGGATAAATCAAAATCAACTGGAAATTGCAAATTCTCTTTGAATCAACTATAACCCAGCAGATGGAGTTCAAAGCTTGAGACATACTATCTAAAAATATAAAGGAAAACTAAAAGTATTTGAACATTAAGCCAACAATATATAAATATCTGAGCTTTCTCAAACGCAATCATTAGCATTAACCACACTCTTTCCTTTGCCAGGTCACTGCTGAACCTTTAATGCTCTTGTAAATGAATGCCAATGTTGTATAGACACAAATTAAAGAATTAGTAACTCTTAATGCTCCTATAAATTCAGCATGCTATATTAATACTATGACAAAAATGTTGTTAAGTTATTTGAAGGAACTTTCTGTATCCAGAATAAGGTAATACATATGTGGGACTTGGCACTAATAGGCATTTCTGATGTAGAACAAGTAAAGGAAAGAGATAGAAAATAGACCGATAGAAAATTAGATGAAAAATACAAAATAGACAGAAGCAACTAGGGAGGAACGGAGAAAATCGGGGGAGAAGCAAAAAACTAAAAGAGAAAACCAGAAAGAATCAATGAAGGAACAAAATCACAATACTCAATATCTCAAATTCTCAAATATTCATCATCCAAAACCTAATCGAAACTAAAATGACAATAGCATTTATAACTTAAACCAAAACCCTAATAAAAAGCATATAACAAATATACCCCTAAAGCCCTAATACTTGAAAAAGAGATAATATACTAACAACATAAAATATCCTAAATAATCTAAAATAACTAAACATAAGTCAAGATTACAATCGAATCTGCAAAACATAAAATAGAGACCTAGATAACATAATCCCTCAACTAGCATATTTCCATCATCAATTTCAATTTTAGGTATCTGGAGTACTTAATGATAAGAATATTGTGACCCTGCTCAAAATGTTTTTTTTAACTCCTTCCAATAAATTGCAGTAGATACATACTTGTAATACAGAGGAGACACCAAGGCCAAAAAAAAATTAAAAATAGATACTCATGTACTCTATGTTCATAAGAACAATGCCCATCCACAAGAATATGCCTGGCATATCAGGCCAACACCTTCCTATTTCCTCACTGGTATTGCAAACACTGCCATTATTCTACAAACTACTTCAAGAATTTTCCTTATTATATCATGCCAAGAATAACACGCCATCATGCATTGACAATGTAATCAAACTTACTACTTAAAACGCATTTGATGGTTACATTTATTTTCACTTCAGGGTTTTGAAGAAAGCACCAACATTATTGTGAAGTTAATAGAGAAAAGAAAGTGGAAGAATAGCTTAACATTTCAAAAAATTAAAATGACATACTTAAGTTTCCTGTAAGCATGGGCAAGATTAACCACTGTGGGTTCCCACATTTCACTTAATGGGGCTGGAATAAGAGCCAATGTTTTCTCAAACCACCAGACAGCTTTGTTATACCTGAAAGTTTTTCCAAAAGAAAATGCTATTTTAAACAATTAACACAAGATATGTGATTTAAAAGAACTTTAACCAGGGAAACTTCAAAAGGAATATAAACATATGCCACATGACAGACATGGGTACAATGAAATCCTTAGCAATAAAAAGTATACAATGAAAGGATAATCTAAAGCATGATAATATCTTGTATATGTAATTTGAGAGCACAACTGCATACCAGGAATACAAGTTATAGAGAATGGTGTTTGAAGAAGCCTTCTAGTTAAAGTACCCATCTAGTGATAAGAGTTCAATTGGGGAAAAAAATACTAAACGTTTAAGATTGTTCCCAATTTCATATTTAAACATAGCAGTCTCAATACAATTAATTTATTAGCACGCTTCAGGAAGTTCAATTCAACATCCCATCTTCAGCAAAAAATTTCAATGAAACATTCAGAACATGAAATGTTGACCATCGGAAGAAAAAATATATAATAAGGTGCAATCACTCCTTACTCTTTCATATGATATGCAACAACTCCAAGCTCATTATATACAAGTGGATCTGAAGGGCAAATTGCCTTTGCCTGCATGATAAACTGAAAACAAATCCCCTTATCAAACTTTTTTACCATGCCAGGAAATTTTTTTTATTTCTGAAGACTTATATAGAACAAAAAAATTGCAATAAGAAATAGAGACAAAGGAGATGATTATTATTACAGAAGCAAAGAAAAACTCAGCAGTACATCACATTCCACCACACAAAAACAAAGAAATAGAATGATGAACAAATTACAGATGACTTTTGTTCTTTCACTTTGTCAACCAACAATGAATAGCATTAGCAACAAAACAATAGACTCCATTTCTACTGATCTAAAAAATGGAGAGAATCTCATTCTCCATGTACATGGGCTAGGAGGGAAAGCTGCTTCCACTTCCAAAACTTATTCTTGAAAATCTGAGCATGATTTTCAGGCATTTTATAATTCTATGCTACAGAGCTATAAGTGCAATCTCCCTTAACATAGGGGAAAATGACAAAATGTATGCAATCAAGAAAGGAGGCAACCTCAAGTAATTGAAATGCCCTCAATATTACTAAGGACAATATCATAATCTATCTGCAAACATTATAATACAAAAAGCATTCATTTACTGATATTTAGCCTCTATGTATGTGGTTATTCAAAATGGAACAGAATAGGCCTCCCCAGCATTAGGACTTTATATTTCTAAGCCGATCTCCATGAGTTTGCTATATATCTACTCTTGACATACAACCCATCTAAAATGACATTTCTATAAATTATGTCCGGAATAATTTAACAGTAACCAGCTCTTATAAGTGTTAAATTTTGCTGTCTAGGAAAAACCTTAAGATATCTAGAAAGTCTACAAGAGTCTAGAATGGCCCTCATATAATAACTAATACTAGGAAGTTTGTAGTCCACAAAGTAGTCATTCTTGATAAACACTGTTATAGAATAGAAAATGTGTAAATATTCTTTTATTAATTAACGTAATTATAGGAATTAGAAATCATCATAATGATAAGGATTGGGAATCATCATGATTATAGGGATTTTATTTTCTTTATTGTTTTTCTCTTTTAGAGATGTTTAGACTGTATATATAGATGATGTATTATGAATGAAAGAGGCTGAGTTTTCTCTTCCTAAATAACATGGTATCAAAGCCAGGTTTTGGCACATTTGTTTCCTTTGAAACAGAGTTCTTAGTTTCTGTTTTGCACCCAAACCTAGGTCACCCATATAGGGTGACAATCTGATCTCACAGCCAGCACTAGGAGGAGACTCAGTTGCTGGTCGGCTTCTTCCTAG